ATGGTGTGTGTGTGTGTATGTGTGTGTGTGTGTGTGTGTGTGTGTGTGTGTGTGTGTGTGTGTGTGTGTGTGTGTGTGTGTGTGTGCATCTGTTGCTCAGCTGCGCGTGCTTTCGGTGCTGGCGCGCCCGAGCCGGGAGGCGGCTGCCTGCCGAAGGAGCGGTTCAAGCAGACCCATCCACCACGTGGAATGCATGGCCCTGTTTGCCGTGCAGAATCGCCCACCCTGAAGCGCACCTGAACAATGCTGCGCTGCCGGCTGACACGCGCCGGGGGCGGCCGCGTCGGCCTAAAGGCTGGCCTCATCTCTTCGTTTGAATAAGATCCAGCTGCCTGCGACGCGTGGGACGAACTCTGATGCGCCCAAGACACTCTTTATTCGCTGGTGAGAACAGGGGGTTTGTGTATGCAGCACACTTGGTACTAGGCTGATCTGAAGCAGAGCTGCGGAGGGCCTCGTCGGTAAATGCACGCAGACATAACCATGCTGTGTGAATCTGCAGTGATAATTGTGTGGCATCGCTGCATTGTTCGAGGGCTGCGGTTGTGCGTCAGTCCCATTCGTTGGATGACGCAAACCTCGGGCGGCGGCGCCGGCATTTCTCGGCACGGGGCTCGCACCGTGTAAGGCCTTGATCGATACAGAAACACCACAGGCTTCAGGCTTCACACGATTGGAGTGCGTCCTGTGGCTCAAACGGCCTCCCCCAGGTTCTGTAGGGTGGGTGTCCGTCTCGAATGCAGCCTGGCGGCAGCGGGTAGTCTGGCGATCGCGATGCCTCTTCTTTTAGGACCCATCACAACCAGCAAGCCTTCACGGGCGTGCATGCACAATTATATAGCAGGAGGAGGAGCCCGTGCCCACCATCCGGCCCCCCAGCTGCTTCACAGAGTGATTTTTCAAAGTTCGGGCATAGCCTCGGTTCTACTGTAACTAGCTTGAAGCTACAGGATGCAGCTTTGAAGAACCGCAGGGGCTGGTGGCATGCTATTTCCACGCGGGTGGTCTGAGGGGTACTCCGCCTTTCGCTGTGCGCCGGCCCAGCAATCCCTGGATCAACAGAAGACAGTGCAGCCCGTCACCAGTCAGTCCGCGGAGGGCCGCGCTGCCAGGCCGGCCGGGCGCGGGCCAAGTCGGCAGCAGGAGATCAGGCGCCGACACCAAGCGCAGGGATGAACGGTGCTTGGGCCGTGGACCGCGGCCTCTCGCGCGGCCAAACGGAATCCAATGCCCGCACTGGCCTTTTGATGCTCTTGGGCACCTGTGCGGCTGTCTGGGTGGTGGTCACAAGCATCGCCGCTGCTGGGCGCCCCAACGGCGCCGTCGGGCTGGTGGAGTGGCCAGCCGCGCCGGCCGCGCCTCACTCACCGCGCCTCGAGGCTCTCCTTGCCCTGACCGCGGTCGACCCCGCGCGTCTTGTCGTCGGCCTAAACGTGACGCTGCGCGACGCCGGCGGCGCGGGCGGCGCCGCCGCGCGCGCGGCCGCGCCGGACGCCGGCCGGGGCCAAGGCGGCGCCACGCTGCGGCTCCTCATCGGCGGCGTGTCGCGCGTGCTGCCGTGGCCGCCGGCCGCGGAGCGGCACGCAGCGCAGCAGACCACGGCCGAGCTGCGGCAGCTCTCCGCCCACCCGCGCGCTTTTGACTCGTACAGCCTGTCTCTCAAGCCACTGTCTGCTGTGCTGCGCAGCTGCAGCGGCGGCGGCGGCGGAGGTGACGGAGGCAGCAGCGGCGGCGACAGGCACTGCACGAGCGTCGCGCTCCCGCTGCTGCTCGCCTTCGACGCGAGTGCGGTGCCAGGGTACAAGATCGCCCCGCGGCTGGCGGGCGGCAGCGAGGGCGGCGCGCAGCTCGTCGTGACGCGCGCCACGCGGCAGCGCGTCGTGCGGCTCATGGCGCACATGCTGCAGTGGCTGGTCGCGTCCTACGTGTCTGCCTGGTGGGCCGGGAACATGCTGTGCCACTGGCTGCTGCGGCGGCTGCTAATGCGGCGCGCGCATCGCTCCGTGTGGCTGCACGGGATGTGAGGCGGCGCCGGCGTCTACCAGGGGCGCTCGTCGGCCTTTGCTGTCTGGTGAGGCAACCACACTTGAGCGCAACCTGCGGCAGGCGGTTCACTGTGTTGCGCTGTGCACTGCCGGCTCTCCCAGGCACCCCTCCGCAGGGGCGACGCCCAAGGTCACAGTGCAGCTTGCTTGCCTGCATTGGTGACCCGGACAGGCGCTCCCCCCCAACCTGCGGCAGGCCCGCTGCACGGCATGCCTTTGTGCGCGTCGCCGCGCAGCCCGTTGTCGCACCCCCTGTATCTGCTGCTGCCCTGCAGCGCACAAAAGATTTGTGAGCCGCGGCCTGCATGCCTGTACACCACCCCAATCAGCTTTTGACCCTCAAACGCCCTGTCTGACAGCACAGCTTGACATGATTAAACACACTGCCTGTGACCGGTCGCATTGTGCCCACCACACGACGCTGTTGATGGGGTGGACACGCACAGAAATATCAAAAATGGCCCATTGCTGGCCCTTGAACATTGTTGCATGCTCCAGATGCGCAACGATTGGTTGCTTCTCGTTCTAGGCAGGGCAGACCGCCTGCACCAGTCCCTGCACCTGCAGACAAGCAGCTTCGCTCCACTCTTACCGCCTTGATGCAAGCGCTGTGCAGGGGCGCCGGCGCGCTTTTCCAGTGGCCCCCCCGCTGGTGTGGTATTGCAAGCAACATTTTTGCTCGTGGTTTCATACTTGACTTTGTTTGTGTGGTTCCCACATCTTGTAACAGGAGACCTGGCAAGGCATGGCAGCTGCTGGCCCGAAGGGGTGGGCACTTGACCAGCCGTTCAACGGGTCGCTGAAGCATCGTGCCACGGACCAGCTCAAGTGGTGGGTGATCACCGCTTGCGAGCTGCCCGCATACTGGAAAATCCAGGCTTGCGAGCACCTCGCACTCTGGTCAAATCAGCGCTCTCCTGCCGCCTTGCAGGCGTGGAGTCGATGCAGTTGATCAAGTTTGACTGACTCAGGGCTGGTGCGCTCGAGCAGGGCTGCTGGTCTGGGTGCAGCCAGCTGCGATAAGTACTCCTTCAGTCACATAACAGTGATGGCACCAGGGTGTGGTCAACTTTGGTCAATTTGCTGCCGTAATTTGCTTGCGACGCTCATCTTGAAGAGCTCGTACGGGAGGTGTTAACTGGTTACTGATACTGAGAGGGAGGCTATAGCTCCACAAATCAATCCAAACATCGGCGCAAGGGGGAACCTTCAGAGAATGCATGAGCCCCAAACCGTCAGCACGTACGAGAGAGCGCATGCGCACGGCGGGATGGCTGCGCAGCAGGCAAGTTGTTGTGTGTTGCACCAGTCAATGAGAATTTCCCCCAGCCACAGCCCACTAAATGACTCGCCTGGACAATCAGGGCACACCACGCAAAGCATGAAATGGCATGCGATGGGCGACAAAAAACAGCGCACCGCGACGCACTGACGCGCATGCAATTGATAAGGGATTTCGCCCGCTGCACGGCGCAACGCTGCTGCCGTGAGATGCTGGTTGTTGGGCTCTCGCCGCTCAAAAAGCTCTAGGGCGCTGGGCGTCCCGCTCGGGCGCGCTGAGCGCGCCGCTCGGGTGCGCCGGCGCGGTGATGGCAGCGGGCACGCGCGTGCAGGCGCTCAGGAAATGCAAACCGCGCTCGCCCGGGCGCCAGCAGCCTCGGACGGCGGAGCGGCCCAGGCGTTCCACGGGGCCTGCCGCTGCGCTGTTCGGCGCGCTGCAGCCTGCCCAACCTCGAGCACTGTGTTGCAGTCAAGCCTGCGGCAGCCGCCGCCCAAAGCCGGCACCCCCTTGGGCGCCAACAAATCGCGCGCGCATGATCGCCCCTAAACAACAAAGATATGGGAGGGGCCCCGGGCAGTCGCCCTGATTTTGTGTTTCTTCTCGTGCAGCGACTCCAGATGACGAAGCCGCCGCTCCCCCGAAAATCTCGGCACCCGCGCCCTCACGGCCCGCCGGCGCCCGCGCCGGGCGCCGCCCGCGCCGCCACGTGGGCGGCGAGGAAGCTGGGGGCGACGTAGGTGAAGCCCTCAAACGCGTCGCGCAGCTTCGGGTCTGTGGGCGTGCCGCAGGGGCTGTCCTCGGGGCGCTGCGCCGTCCACAGGGCGTCAAAGTTCTCAACTGAGAGGGAGTGGGCCACTGAGGGCTTGAAGGACGACGCAACGCGGCGCTCCTCCAGCGCCTGCCAGTTTATGCCCTGCGGGGAGGGGCGGTAGGG